ACTTTCTGGACGTTTCTGCATTTGCACTGTCAACAGCGGTGAGCTGGGGTGTCCAGAGACCTTCCACTTGGTATTTTATCAACTTGTGTGTGGCTGCACTTTCTTCGAAGCCTGTGCTGCTGTTTTGCAATTTAAAAGAATGTTTGAACGGGAAAATGTCATTTACACGGGAAGTTGGGTTACCCGCCCCCCCAAAACTGCACAGCCTCTGCATTCGCTAAGGTCTCACGCAGCCAGTGCTGGGTGTAGTCTTCAGAACAGCCCTGGGGGTTCACAGTCGCCCATTTTGGAGACAGGGGCGGAGGGGTGCGTGTGTAGAGACAGAGCGCGTGTTCCCCTAGGGGGGTGGATTTGGAGAGACCAGGGCCTCTCCCTGCACCCTGGCCAGAGCCGGGGCCAGCTCAGCCCCTGCGCCCTCAATTCCTGGCCAGGCCACCGCCCGCAACTTCTGCCCTCACCTCCTCCATCTCCACCCCCCACCAGCACCTCCAGCGCGGCCAGCAGGAGCCCACGGGGCCGGTGTGGAGGGCCGGCTTGGGTCCCCCACGTTCACATGCATGCTGAAGCCGCCTCCCAGTGTGGGGGGTGCTGAGAGGCATCCTCTGGGGCGCCCTCCCCAGGAAGGGTTCCGGGTCCCAGGACTGGGTGCCAGCCAGCGACACAGGAGCCGGGGACGAGGCCACCCCCGCCGGAGCCTTGGAGCGGCGGGCTTTCTCGCGCTCCTCTCCTTGCGGGAGCTGCCGCTCTGGGAGCGGGCTCCGCCCGCGGGGCTCGGGAGTGGAGGGCTGGGGGAGCAGCCTTCGCCGCCTTCTGGTACCCTCGCTCGCCATCCTCCCTCCCTCGCTCTCCGCGGCACACTGGCGGGTGGGCTTCCCTAGCGCCCCACCCCTTCCCTAGCGAGGGGCCTGTGGCTGGGCCAGGCAGGTGATGCGCTGGGAGTGGCCACCTCGGGGGTCCGCCCGGCTTCGTGTCCTGGCTGCGCCAGCCCCTGGCAACATGCCCCAGCCCGGCCTCCTCCCTTCCCTGGCCCTCGCTTCTCAGCCTCTACCCGTGCCCCTCCTGGGCTCGTCTCCCCCGGACAGCCTGCTCGCTGCAGAGCCTCCGGGGCCCACGCCCAGACACGGGGAGACTTCGTGCGGGCCTCCTGCGGCGCACAGGGCTCGGCATGGGGGCAAGAAACAGGCCTTTGCTTCAAGCCATGGGCTCCGGGGACCCATTCGCCGGAGCAGCTGGACGGAGCAGGGCTGGGGCTGGGAAGCCCGGGGCGGGAGGAACAGCCTGGAGGGACAGGCTCGGGGCGCTGCAGAGTGCGTGCTCCTGACCCCCACAAAGCACCGAGGGAGGAGGCTGCACAGAACACGGGGCGGGGGGAGGGCAGGGGGACGCTCTGCATGGGCGACACTTCTTCCCACAGCGCCCCCCTTGGCCAGCTGCAGGGTCCCCGCCAGAGGCCATTTCACCGGCAATGAACAGGACCCAGACTTCTCACATGGGACACATTTCTGCAGCGGGGTGTTGGTGCCTTCACCCCAATACACGGTGCTCAGGGCCTACGTCAGCCTTGTGACAGCCCGTGCATCGAGTGCCTGCTGCGAGCGCCGTGCCTGAGGTCAGTCCTCGCCAGGGACCCGGGCACCCTGTGGGGCTGGTGCTGCCCCCTGGCGCCTAGGTGAGGAAGCGGCGGCTGGGGGAGGCGGTGGCATTTGCCAGCAGGGGAGCTCGTGGCTCCCACACCCAGGCCCTCACCTGTGCCCTCATACGTGCCCAGAGAGGCCCCTGCAGGAAGGTGAGGCAGCTCGAGGGGCGGCCCACGGTGGGGCCCCCAGCGTGCAGAGAGGAGCAGGCTGGCTCCTGCCGGCCCCTCCCGCTCGCCCCTCAGCCCTGTGCTCCCTGCGGCCACGGCGCCAGCGGCTCGAGCAGCCCAACGGCCCTTGCACAGTCGGCCCCCGGGTGTGAGGCGGCCCCGGCAAAGGGACATCGGTGCTGGAGGCCGGCCGTTGGGCAGCATGAGGGGCAGAGACGGGTCCCCAGGACAACAGACAGAGCCCTCTGCCGTGTCCCCACAGTGCCCGGGGGCCAGCCCCCTCCACTCCGCCATTGCTCCACCACCTACGAGAATGTCACTATGTAAGCCCCCTTCTGCTTTTCCCTTCCTGAGACTTGTAACTTGCAACGTGATCTGATCTAGAAGATTCCCTGGTAGGAAGCACTGGGCTGCTTCTCTGCGGCTGATGTAAGGGGGTGGTTTAGGTTGGCGTCTGCCGTAACAGGTTCCCTGGGAGAGGACTTCATGGCCCGGGAGCCTGAGCTGGGGCCCTGGAGGGGTTTTGAGGGCAGAGCTCACACCTGCCCAAGCGCGCGTGAGCCGTGGGCAATCACCCCGTGACCAGGCTCCTCCCCTCCTGGGTCTCCAGGCCCAAGCCTGGCGCCCGAGCTCCTGCGGCCACAGGGGCCTCCCGGGAGTACAAACGCACAGACAGACAGAGTCCCGATCCAGGGGCAGGGCCCACCCAATGCCATTGGTGGCACTGATTTTTTAAACCTGAACAGTATGTGCAAGATGTTTCCAGAGGCACACGACTGGGGGGAACTTAAATGGTCCCGCTTCGCGCAGTCTACGGAGCCAGGGAGACAGCGGCACGGCTCAGGGCCCTCTGGGGAGGGCTGGCTTGGGGCCCAGGCCTGCTGAGCCCCGTTTATCACCTCCAAGCAAACCACCTGCCTCCTTGCACCAGTTACCACCTGCCACCTCCCCACTCAACCCTCCATCTTTAACCCCAAGGGGGCACTGGGTCTTTATCCTGCTTTGAAGTTCCCCCACGTCACATTGGAGGAAGCTCTCCTTTTTTTTTTAATATTGTTTAATACCATTTGCCATTTTTTTTAAAGATTTATTTATTTATGCACACAAGAGCTGGGGTACAGGCCAGAGGTGTGGGATCTGAGAGGATTCACCAGAGACAGAGCAGGGAGCAGAACAGGCAGATCTACTGAAATGCACTGCCGAGGGGAGCAGCGGGGAGACAGGAGAGGTCTGCTGCGCCATGTGGGTCACCTCCCTGGCGGGCTGGGGATTGAACTCGCTCTGCGGAAGCTGCTGATTGCTTCCTAGTGCGGTGCCTAACCCCTTGCGCCACCAGGGAGGCCCAGGAGGCTCTAATTTTAGAAGGCTCCCAGCAGGGTCAAGCTGCTGAGTCCTCTCTCAGCATTAAGGTCAGCTGGCTCGGCGGGACTGTCATGACATGGGCATTGGTGCTTGGCCCCTGCCTCCCGCCTGGAGGGTCCTATCCACCACACCCCCCAGACCCAGCGTCTTTTAATCTGCTCATTTCAAAGCCAAGTGAGAGGATGGGGGTGGGGCCCCTGCTGAGGGCGCATGCTGGTAGCCTCTGGCTTCAGCCCCACCAGCCGCCTCACCACCGTATCTGTAGGAGAGATGCCAGGGGCCCCGCCTTTCACACCGGCATGGCCTTGCCAAGTCACCTGGCCTGGCTGGCCGGCCCCTTCCCCGGTGGCCCTGCGGCTGGCCTGACCCCCCAGGGGTCTGGGCCCCGCAACAAGCCGTCAGCCATCTGCACGACCTTCCCCCAGGTCGCTTTTCCTTCTCCCGCCACCCTGTCCTGCTTGGGGCACCGCGTGGGGTCAGCTCCCCCGCACCCCCTCCCCAGGGCCACCCGCGCCCCCTGCAGGGGGTGCATCCCTCCCGGGCAGCTTCATCTCTCTGGAGGAGGTGCGAGGTGCCCCGCAGGGAGCCAGAGCGGCCCCCAGTCTCCCCGGAGAGGCGGCGAGGACGCCCGGGCCCGGCCTCGGCTCCCGCGCAGACGCCGGCACAGCCGCGGGCCGCACGCGGGGGCTCCCGTGGGGCCCGCTCCGGCCGCACCCGAGAGTGGAGGGCGCCCGCCTGTTCGCGCTGAGCCCCAAGAGGCCCGACAAGTAAGTCTCCTTCAAGTCCTCACAACAAATGCCGGGAGCCCAGTTTCAGCAGCGCGACGCGACTGTTCCGTAAATTTCCCCCCAAAGCCCGAGGCACCCGCGCCCCCGCCCCGCGTCGCCAGCCTCTCTCGACTGGAGCTGGGCGGCCGGCTGCGGGGGCCACGCCGGCGCCACCCCAGACTAGGCCCGGCCCCCCAGTTCCGCGGCCCCCCGGCCCCCGGCCCCGCGTCCCTCCTGCGCGGGCGGCCGCAGCCCCCACGGGCGCCCCTGGCTGCGCCCGCCCCGCCCGCGGGGAGCAGGGGTTCCCGGGGCTCCCGGCCGCTCCGGGGCACAGACACCCAGGCGGGGCGCGGGGCGCGGCCGGGCCAGGCGGGAGAGGCCGGGCCAGCGGGGCCGGGGGTGGGGCTGCCCCCGGCAACCCCGGGCCTCTGCGCCCCGTCCCTCGGGGGGTGACGCCCCGGCCCCGCCAGACCCGCCAGCGGGCGCCCCGGCTCCGCCGCTCGGCTCTGAGGAGGCCGACGGGCGGGAAGCGGCCCCCGCGCCCCCGCGGCCCCGCTTCCTGGCGCTTCTGCGGCGCAAACCCCAGGGTCCCCGTCACCGCGGCCGCGCCCCAACCACGGCCCCGACGGCCGCGCCCGAGAGACCGCCAGGGGCGCTCGCGGCGCCCACCCGCACCCCGCAAACTCGGCGCCGCCGGCCCGGCCCCCGCGCGGCCCCCCTCGCCGCGCCGCGCAAAGGGCGCCGGAAACACGCACGGAGGCCGCCCCGCCCCGCCCCCTCGCTCGTCCTCCCCATTGGCTCTTCCCCGAACACGCCCCGCCCACGGGCCCTCAACCTTTCACCCCTTCGACTTCGGGGGCTCCCAGTGGCGTCACGCCCCGCCCACCGGCGGGCGGAGAGCCCCGCGCCGCGGCCCGCAATTATTGGTGGCAACTTCTGCCCATCAAGGAGCAGCGGGCGAGGATTGGCCGAGGGCGACCCGTCGCCGGCGCGAGGGGCCTGGGCCCGAGGGGGCGGGCCGGCGGCCTCCGCGCCTGCCCGTGGCGTGCGCAGTGCGGGCGGCAGTCATGGCGGCGCGGTGCGTCAGGCTGGCGCGGCGCGGCCTCCCGGCGCTGGCGCTGGCGCTCAGGTAAGCGGCTGTCGCAGCTGGCCCGAGGCGGCGCGGGCCCGGGGCCGCCCTCCCGTGCCGCCGCCCCGCTGCCGGGCTCGGGAGGGCCCGCGCCTCCCGGCGCCGCGCGACCCCCGCCTGGCCCGGCCCGGGCGCCCGCCCCGCGGCCGCGCACGTGCCCCGCCAAGGTCAGGCCCCGGGGCCCCCGCCCCCCCTGCCCCCCGCGGCCCGCGCCCCCTGCCCCCCGCGGCCCTGCCCCCCGCGCCCCTGCCCCCTGCGGCCCCTGCCCCCCCGGGGCCCCTGCCCCCCCGCGCCCCCTGCCCCCCCGCGGCCCCCGCACCCCCGACCCCCTGCCCCCCGCGGCCCCCGCGGCCCTGCCCCCCTGCGGCCCCTGCCCCCCACCCCGCCGTCCTGGAAGGGGCCTCATGGCGGCTGCGGTCGGGGATCCCGGGCGGTGACAGGCGCGACCCCCCGCGGCAGACGCGGGCCGGGCCGGGCCCGCCTGAAGGCCTGGCTTTGTGGGGGCGGGGAGAGCGCGCGGAGGTTCGCCTCCCTGGCCCGCCGAGCCCCCCGGCCGACCTGGCCCCGGAGCCCCGGTTTGTCCTCGCGGCCCGGCGGCGGGTCCGCGCGCGCTCTCGGCCGTGCCGCCGCCGTCCGGCCCGGGGCGCGTCCTGCACGGTCTGCGTGGAGCGCTTTGCTCCCGGGAGGTTTTCTCCAGTCCGCGGAGAGTTCTCGTCGGGGCGCGGGCTGTGGCAGGACCCCACGGGCCGGTGCGGCCGCCCGTCGCCCACGAGCGAGCGGCCCTGTGACCTAGGGCTGCCCCCGCCCTTCAGTGCGGCTCCGACCGGACGCCGCTGTCACCGCGCGGTCGTGGCCTCTGCAGGCCCCCGGGGCTGCCCGCCCTCCCGGTGCCTGGGCCCTTCCCCCTTCCGGACGTGTCCCCTCCCCCTGGCTGGCGGGACTCGCCTCACCGGTCCCTCGAAGGCTCCCGCGCGGAGCTTTCCACAGTCTGGCGCCCCCCACAGCCTGCAGCTCGCCCTCCTCGCCTGCTGGCTGCTCCGAGGGCAGGTCTTGCCTGTGACTGTCCTTCCCGCGTGAGGGCCGGCGCCCTGTGGGCAGAGTCCCCGCCTGTTTTGTGACCCCAAGCACTGGCCCCCACACTAGCAGTGGCTGCTCCGCAGCTCGAGCTGGCATCCTGGAGGACCCCCTGTCAGGAGGAGGTGCTGGGTGGAAGGGGGCACAGACTGCCCCCGCGGCCCTCCCGTGCGGTGGCTTCGGGCGCAGGCGGCTCCCCCCTCTCCGGGGGGCTTGGGTCGCTTGGGGAGGGCTGTTGGGAATGCTGTTGTCGTGGACTCCCATGGAAAACTTTTGAGTGAATTTCCCAGACTCCCCCAAAAAAGTCCCCAACAGGAGCATTCTGCTGCTGGCTAGCAGGGGTCGCTGTCTCACAGAAGATGGTGTAGAAATCCCGTGTATCAGTTTCCCTTTCCTAGATCTGCGAATACTCCTCTCCCACAGCCAATAGCTTTGTTTAAAATTAATTTTGAAGTAATTTAGAGTTCTCTCAGATGACTGAGAGCAAGCACGACCGTGACTTCTGACACGTGGTGCTTTTTGAAGGCCCTCTCCTCGGCTCCTGTGCACAGCCACAAAGCAGAAGAATGGCCAGAATTTGGAGGACGACGTGGGTCACAATGAACCGAAGACAGATTCTCCCTCTGCAGAGAAACTACTCCTGGAAGAGAAGGTCAAGTTGGAGGAGCAGCTGAAGGAGACCATGGTGAGGACTCTGAGCTCGCCGGGAAGGGTGGTCGGTGGCCGGTAGGCAAGCTTCCTTGCCGAGGCCTGTCTAGCCACCATGTTGTGTGGTCACAGAGACTGAGGCCAGCGATGCTCAGTCTGTCTGCCGTGTGGCGCCTGCAGCAAGCTACTGCCCAAGAGGGTCTAGAACCCACATCGTGCGTGGCTGTGGTTGCCACGCAGATTATTATGCTCCTGACACATGAGGAATACCTGCTGTAGCTGGTTGAGCCAGGCCTCAGGCAAGGCCCCGAACACGAAGGACAGAGGGGACCAGAGGGGTGGTTGTAGGGGACTCTCGGAGAGGCAGGGCTCAGGAGCGAGTTAGCGACTGGGTCTCACACGCTGGGAAACACACAGGGGGTGCACCTCAAGCTCTACCCAGCTCTGGGAGCGGCCCAGCACCCCTTTAAACTACTTCCCTGCTGGCGTGGCGCCTGAGGCTGCCAACTGGTGGGGGGTTGGGCCTTGAAGGCCCTGCTCTGAGATGGAAGACAGAGACACCCCCCCCCCACACACAGTAATTCAGTACACCTTAGAAATAGAATTCCTTGGGGGCGATGACAGGACGGGTGCTGAGGAGCGAGCACTACACCAGGACTTGGGTGTTTGCCGCTTGGTGAAGCTTCGAACCGAGTCCCTCGGGCAGTGGTCAGTGCAGCAGGCCTCGCTGCTGGGGCCTCCCTAGTGGGTGGGTGGGGCTCGGCTGGCCCCTGGTTCTCCGCCTCCCTCCAGCCGTGGGCCCAGTACTTGGGCCCTTACTAGGCCACCTGTGTTCTGCTGAGGAAGCGCTTGGGCCTCCCTGGAGGGTAGCGAGACTCGGGTAAGGAGGCCCGCGTTTTGCCTTGTCCCTTCCCCTGCTGCGTGCTTGAGTCAGAAGGGCCTTGAGGCCACGACACTGTGACATCCTGCCCCTGAGGGGGCCTCGTCCGCTCTGGGCTGAGCCACCTGCTCTCAGAAGCAATAACAAACACCGTGTTGTGTTCTGTCAGACCTGCCGTCCTGTGAATTTGGCCCACGTTTTACCCGTCCGTTTCCCTTTTTCTTTAGGAAAAGTACAAGCGTGCTTTGGCGGACACCGAGAACCTGCGGCAGCGGAGCCAGAAGCTGGTGGAGGAGGCCAAATTATACGGTACCTGCAGACACGGGCCTGGGGGAGGTGGTGGGCAGGGCGTGCGGTGGCCCAGCGCAGGCCAGGCTGGCAGGTCCTCCAGCTTCGACCCGGATGGGCAGTCGGGCGTGCGAAGGGAACAGAAACGGCCGTGGGACGTGGCGAGAAGCAACAGGTGCTGAGGAAGGAGCAGCTTCTGCTCTAACACCTGAAGACCTGGGTGTGGGCGTGTGGGGTTCGGGTGGGAGGGCCTCCCACGTGCCCTGCATGGCGCCGAGTGCCGGGGGTGCTGCTGCTGCGTGGTCAGGGCCTCCCACTCTGCAGTTGAGGTCCCTAAGGCCATGTGACCCCTGTCCTCACAGCGGGCGGGCAGTGGTGCAGGGCATCCTGTCAGGCTCCAGAGGAAGCAGCCCAGGCCTGGTGAGAGGTTTTTGCTGTGTCCTGCCTCCCTGCCGCGCAGGGGACAAGATTCTTTGGAGCATGATTCATCTGGGCCCCGACCTTGCCCGGACTTGCTTCCTCTGGTGAAGGTTGGTGTGGGCTTTACCCCCCGTGCGGCCTGATCAAAACACAGATGCGTGCTCTGGAGTCTGGGCGCTGCTAGCTTGTGAGGCGCTCCGTCTCCTAGCCACGCGGTGTGTTAGGTACTGTTGGGATCCCCATGTAGCACTTGAAGGGGCTGAGACTCGGAGGTGACCAACCCCGAGCAGCCTGGTAACTGCCAGAGACATGGCCTCGCTGGGGCCAGGCATAGAGTGGGTGCATGGAGTGTTTCCTGCTTCTCTGGCTGTCTCGTCATAGCTTCTTTCCTCAACTTTTTGTTTCGTTTTGAATCAAGTCACTGACACTCTAGAAGGAGGGATCCGTGGAGCGTGCGGCGCCCCCTCGCAAACGCTGTTCTTTTGCCTCACGTAGGCATCCAGGCCTTCTGCAAGGACCTGCTGGAGGTGGCGGACATCCTGGAGAAAGCCACGCAGTGCGTGCCTCAGGAGGAGATCAGGGAAGACAACCCGCACCTGAAGAGCCTGTACGAGGGGCTGGTGATGACGGAGGTGCAGATCCAGAAGGTGTTCACCAAGCACGGCCTGCTCAAGCTGAACCCCGTGGGAGCCAAGTTCGACCCCTATGAGCACGAGGCCTTGTTCCACACGCCAGTCGAGGGCAAAGAGCCGGGCACAGTAGCGCTGGTTAACAAAGTGGGGTACAAGCTGCACGGGCGCACCCTGAGGCCAGCCCTGGTGGGGGTGGTGAAGGAAGCTTAGCCGCCTCCAGGGGCGTCGGTGGTCTGTAGTCACTCGCTGTAACTCTCACCAAGCTGATTCGTCGTTCTCTCACCTCTGAGTACTTCTGACCTGTGCCGAGCCCTGTTGGAAGCGTTCGTAACTGTGGCCAACAAAGCTAAGGCAGCAGCCGATTGCGTTGATGAACTCTGAACAGGTGTCTGCTCGTTGGTTTCTAATACCTGGTTGGTAGTTGCTCGTGCTTCCAGAACAGACGCGCGAGCGCGGCTGGCCCGACCATAGTGAATGCCACTGTCCGCTCCAAATCCGGTGGCCTCAGCACTCTTAGCTGAATAAAAGGCCTTCGGGACCCGGCTGTCTGACTGTGCCTGGCCGTGCCATCCTCTACAGCCCCTGGCGCGGGGCCTGGGAGCGCGCCAGAGCCACGCGGGGCCGGGCGGGGGTGTGAGCCATGTTCTTGTTCAAGTTTCTTGATGCCCCCAGTAAGAACCATGAACTCACTTTGGTGGGTTTTGCCCCACTTCTGGGTTCTCAAGTGACAGGAGCTGACGTGCGGAAGCAGGCCTCGCCCCCTCACCACCACCTTCGTTTGCCAATAGCTCGGTTTGTCAAAACCAAATTTGAGAAAACCAGTGCCTGTTTTATTCAGAAGCGTTTAAATCGTTACTCCCCTCGTTACTGACCTGAGGTGAGAGGGGCCGTCTCTCATCTGAGGACTACACGCTCCACACGCTACTTAAATACCGTTTTAACTTTTCAGACTTTATTTTCCTACCTTCCGACACCTGTTCCGTGCGCCTTGGCGGCAGGTTCCAGACCAGCCTGCTCCTGTCCTCTGCGGGGCCGGAGCCCGGGGGCTGCGGGCGCGTGGGAGTCAGGGCCTGTGTCGCAGGGCAAGGGGGCCTTCTGATGAGGCGCGGCCCTTCCTTGTGCGATGCGGGCTCTGTCACAGCCCAGGAAAGCCTTCCACCGCCTGAGGTGCCCTCAGGGCTGAGGGCAACGCCCGAGAATCTGTTCCCGCCACAGAAAAGCACAATTCACTTGATCTGTCACTTTCAGAGATGTAGGAGTATTTTCGTCACCATGATGTCGATTTTTACCCCTTGCAAATGTTGCTCTTTTCCCCTCAGCTACCTTAGTTGGTCAAAATGGCAGAGCTGCTGGCGCCATTAGTGAGAGGCCCAGGGGCGGCGCTAGGTCCGAGGGGGAGAGCTGGCTTCTGGGGTGTGAGGCCGCCGCCGCCAGGTGGGAGGCTGGGGTGCTGCTGAAATGGGGGGAGGTCTCTGCCATTAGTTCACCCTCGGGTCACTGCCACTTGGCAAACATCATTGCCGTGCGTGTGGCAAGGACGCCCCAGCAGGGGCAGAGCCGCGAGGCACGGCCACAGCCCACCCCTGCCGCTCGGGTTTCCCCGGACAGGCCTGGCCGGCTGGCGGGAGGCAAGTGGGGAGCAAGAAGCAAGCGGGCACACGCTTTGTTCTCAACTTGTTTAATAGGTACCAGGGAAATAAAAACAGTAGTTTTTGTTTGTGAAATACATTTTTGGAATGTTGGCCATCAAAGCGTCATTTTGAAGAGCTGCAGAGCTACCTGACTCCTCTGGCTCAAAGGTGGGGCTTGTTTCAATGTTGAAAAGCCTGATTCCCTGGGGTGGCGGGGCTGCTTCGTCAGGGGAGTGAGGGGGACGGGGCAGCGGAGGGGCAGAGGCCACTGGGCGCAGGTCACTCTCCCCTGTAACGAAGTTAATACTCTCACATAAATTATACATTCATCGTGGCGCGTGAAACAGTCAAGCCTAAACTCTCCATACCCTCGAGAAGATTCTGGAAGCCGTGAGGCATCCTGCGGCCCTCGGCCGGGCCGCGCGCACTGCAGGGAGGGTTTGCTCCTCAGGCTCAAAGTCTGGAGCCTTTTATACAAAAATAAGACTAAGGGTAAAGCCTCCGTGGAACATCCAGGACCGCGGCCCGGGCGAGCACGTGCCGGCGGCGGCCTGGAAGGCTCGCGGGGCCCCGCGGCCGCCTCCGGAGGGCTGGGGCGGCCGCCTGTCGGGCGGGCCCCGGGGGCCGGCCCGGGAACGCGCCGCGGCCCGTGAGGCGTAGCACCGGCTCGCGCCCGCCCGCCCGTCCCGCCGCCGCCGCCGCCGCCGCGGGCCCGGGGTCAGGCCGCCGCCGCGGGCGCCCGGGCGGGCGCGAGGGGAGGAGAAGGCACCGGAATTGCGTTGTCCTTGGAAGGGAGGCGGTTTCGTTCCTTGTCTCTTTCATGTAGCTTCAAGCCCGCGCTCCGGGGGGCGGGCCGTCCGTCGGGGTCGGGGGCGCGGGGGGGGGGGGGGGGGGGGGGGGGGGGCGGGACCAGCCCCGGGGAGGCGGGCCGGGGCGCCCGGCTCCAGAGCAGGGTCTCGGGCGGGCGGGAGCCCTGAGCAGCGGGAGGGCGGGCGGGCTCCCTCAGGTTCCGGCCCCCTAAAGTGCCACGTGCGGGCTCCGGGGCGCGGCGCCCCTCAGGAGGCCTCGCGGGCGATCCAGCCGCTCTCCGTGAGGAAGGCCAGGAGGCGGCGCTTGAGCGCCTTGTCCAGGTAGCCGGGCAGGCGGCTCTTGGCCGGCAGCCCCTGGCGCCGCTGCAGGTGGTCGCGGATGATGAGCGTCTTGGCCGTGAGGTAGCGCGCGGGGCTGAGCCCCAGCCCGCCGCACAGCGCCTTCTCGCGCTCCGACAGCAGCTCGGCGCCCGGCAGCGCCTCGAGCGCCGCCAGCTCGCCGTCGCGCCCGTCCTCGCGCCCGCGCCGCGCGCCCGCCGCGCCCTTGTTCTCCTTGCGCCGCTCGCGCTTGTGGCGCGCGGCCTCGAACTCGGCCGAGTCCTCCATGCGCGTGATGCCGTTGCGCCGGTAGCGCTGCAGCTCGCGGATCTTGGCGCGCAGCAGCTTCTCCTTGTGCATGCCCTCGAAGAGCTCGTCCAGCTCGCGGCTCGACATGAACTGGTAGAGCGGCCGCAGCTTGAGGCGCAGCTCGCGCTCCTCCTTCGGGATCTTGCGGCGCGGGCCGCGCTCGCGCTCGCGCCGCTCGCGGCCCAGGAAGGCGGGCACGAGGCTGTAGTCGCGCGCGATGTTCTTGCGGCGCTGGCGCTCGCGCAGCTTCCGCACGTACATGTCCACGTGCGCGCGCTTGAGCTCCACCTCCACGTCGTCGTCGTCGTAGTTGACCGAGAGCCCGCTGATGAGCGCCTCGGCGTCCTGGTCGTACTCCACCTCGTAGTCGTCGCGCAGCGGCATGTAGCCCAGCTGCTGCTGCTCGGCCGCCGAGATGTCCAGCGGCGGCAGCGGCGTGGTCAGGCTGGGCGAGAGCGGCGCGCCGCCCGGGCACGTGTGGTCCGTCACGCGGTTGGGGATGGTGTCGGGGATGCAGGCGCGGCCCAGGTTGCCGTGGATGTACATGCTCACGTAGTGCTCCATCACCTCCTGCGGCGTGCGCGCCGCGCCCACGTGCGCCGCCATGTCCTCCTGCAAGACAGCGGGTCACCCGGGCCCGCCCGCCCGCCCCGGCCCCGGCCCCCGCCCCGCCGCGCCCCCGTGCGCCGCCATGTCCTCCTGCGAGACAGCGGGTCACCCGGGCCCGCCCCGGCCCCGGCCCCCGCCCCGCCGCGCCCCCGTGCGCCGCCATGTCCTCCTGCGAGACAGCGGGTCACCCGGGCCCCCCCCGCCCCCGCCCGGCCCCCGCCCCGCCCCACCGGGCAGACCCCCCCGAGAAAGCCGCGGACCGCGGGGGCTGGACTCAAAAACAGGGGCAGCCCCCACCCCCGGCCTGGCTCCGGGATGACAGAGAGGCCGGGACGGGGCAGCGCCGGGGCGCCCCGGGGCCTGGCCTCCGCCTGGAGGGTCAGGGTCAGGGCCCGGGCGGCCGGTCTGGCAGGGCCGCGCTGTTCACTCTTCCCCCAACACCCCGCGCGCCAGACCCTGCTCCTCCCGCTTCCCAGACGCGCTTGGTCCAAAACAAACCGAGTCTCAACCCCGCCAGGCTCGCCGGCGCCCCTCATCCCGCAAAGGCCTCGGGCCTGGGCCTGGGCCAGGCTTGGCCAGGCCAGGAGCCCTATGGGTCCCCCTCACCCCGGGGGGCAGTGCGCCCCCGCGCTCCTCACCCACCCAAGCGGGACCAGAAAGTCCTGAAGAGCGTCACAGGTGACCACTGGCCTGGCCGCACCCTGCCCTTTCAAGAGGGCAGGACACTGTCCAAGGTGTCTGGAGGGCAGGGTGCCCACCCACGTGTGGCCGGCCCGCCCGGGGCCTTCTCCATCCACCATGGCTTCCCACCAAGGCTGCAGCAGCTACAGTCGGCCCCACAGATGCTACGGAGTCCACTTTCCAGGGAGCCACGCAGGTGAGGGAGTCGGGGGCCCCTTCCCCACCCCCAGAGGCAGGTGAGGAAAGCAGCCGGGGCAAGTCCTGCTCAGGGGGAAGGGCCGCCGCCAGCACCCCCAACCTGCATCTCTGCTCACCCTGAAAACCAGCAGCTGCTCAGCGCCCCAGAGAAAACTTCAGTCCTCAAGGATTCCGAGCCGCAGCCACGGCGGAGCTCCTTCCCAGCCACCCCCGCCCTCCGGGGCAGCGAGCAGCACGGGCGTCCCTCCGGGCACCAGGCAGCTGAACCCGTGCCTCGGGCGACCACGTGGCCACTCTTGGCCTCTGCACGAAGCGGCTGGAGGCGCGGACACGATGGTGTCTGTCCGCAGCCATGAGGCCGCCGCGCTTACCCGGGCGGCGGGTGGAGCTGGGACACCACCTGTGAGACGGAACTTCCCGGCCTCAGGAACATCGGCCCACTGAACACCCACAAGGCCTCGAGAAGCGGGGACGCGAGTCCATTCTGCTCACCGCTATTGGCCTGGGACCTGCCTCAGGCCAACCCCACGACAGGGAACATTCCAGAAAATACTGCCTCAAATAGGTCATGGCCACGACAGACACGGAGCTGACCAGGCTGGAGAAGACCCGCCAACGGCCGCGCGCGCACTCTCTGGTAGCCCCGGTTGCTCTGCCGGGGCCTGGGGTGCGGATCACTGCCAGGACCCCTCTTTCCGGCCATCGGCCCACCTTCTGGGTAGGATACAGGGTGACAATCAACGGGGACCTTAGGTGATATTTTTTTTGGGGGTAAATCTGCAAGTTTTTCAAGTTGAATTAGACCTCAGAATTATTCAGAAAGGTCTAAGACTTTCATTCAAAACTTTACAGAAGAGACCCAGCGTGCCCAGGGGCTGGCGCTGCTGTCAGGCGCCGCGCTCCAGTCGCAGGCCGGTGAGCCCTCGTCTCGCTCGGAGAACACACGGGCCCCGGGGCTGTGGGCACCGCTGACAGTAGAGCCCACCCAGACGGCTGCCCCCACTCCCTGCACCGGCCAGGCCAGTGCTGTGCCCAGACCTCCGTCACCAGGCCCTCTCTGGGGAACAAAGGGGTGCTGGCCCGCAGATGGACCCGGTGACAGGCTTGTGAAATCACAGGCCCAGGCGCCGCGTTTCACCAGGAGCTCAGAACGGTGCATGTGTCGGCCCCGGCCCGGCAGGGTGAGCCCACCAGCCGCAGGGAAGGGGAACCCCCTCCGGGGCCCCATAGTGTTTCGAGATGAATGACAGGAGCCCAGGAAAACCCAGGACCCCAACTTTCGAGGACTCTGAAATGGAGAGCAAGGTTGGCAGCACAGCCTCGGCCCCAGCGAGGACAGCCCGGTCCTCAGGCGCGCCCGGGTAGGCAGGTCGGGCGAGGTGTCCGCGGGTTAGGACTGTCTTGACTGTCCCGGGCCGCGGTCCCGGCTCGCTCTGGCTTCGCCGCGCCTCACGAGTCAGCGGCCGCCCGGCCCTGCGGCCAGCACGGGGGACGTCCTGGCACCACGCCCGCCCCGGGACAGCAGCTCGGCGCGGAGCCTCTTCCCTCACGTGCTGAAGGTCAGTTTCTGCTTAACCCGGGCGGACGGAGGGCAGAGGCGACAGGAGAGAACAGGGTTCTCACCCCGGAGGGGCACAGCTGTACCCCTGCACCCCCAGTCCCGCTGGGCTCTCGCTTGTTTCACGGGCCTGGGGAGTCTGTTCACTTGCCCCCCGCCCCCAGCAGAGAGGGAGGGTGGGGCAGTCCCGAGGGGTCCAGGTGGTGGGGACTCGGGAGGAGTAACGGGAGCACCGTAAGCATACTGAAGGGGGATGCCCCAAAGGGGAAGCCCTGAACCACCCGTTGCCTCACCATGGGGGGCGGCTCCGGTTCCAGGGCGCAGGGCCTCCCTGCTGCTCCCCTCCAGAGACACAAGGCCCCAGCAGCTGGGGGTGGGGGACAGGCGGGAGCCACAGACGTGGCCCCAGGCACCGGGGGCACCGCAGGCGGCACAGCGTCTCCCTCTAGCTCACTGAAGAGGAGACTCCCCTTCTCGGGACGAGACCGGGAGAGACAGGTCTGCCGCGTCCTTAAAGCCCTGTGAAGATGCAGGGAAACGTGCCCTAAGACGCGACCCTGGGTGCGGGGGACCCGCTCTGAAGGTGGCGGCGTCAGGCCGGGCGAGAGGGGTGAGTTTGCTCCACCAGGCCCTCGGCTCGGCCTCACGCAGGCTGCCGCGGCGCGGGCTGCAGCCCCCGAGCGGGGACGGGCCTCCAGAGAGCTCTCCGGGGCGCAGGCTGGGGCTCGGGGTTTCTCTGCCCCCGCTGGGACCGGGGCCCCCAGGCTGCTCTGCCCACTCGCCACCCGGTTCCTTCCTCACATACAAAGTCAACGGGCCCTGTGCACGCCCGGCCCGCCAGGGCTGCTCCGGAGCCACGGCCGCCGAGGGCACGGGCTGCGGGCGGGGGGAGCCCAGGGGAGGGATGCCGCTGGAAGCAGCCCGCCTCGGGCCCACGCTCCGCGCCCCCGGGCCTGGGCTTCTCCGGGGGCCACGACGTCATCTTCCTTTCCACGAGACAGCGACAGCGACTGCTTGCTCGTTAACTGGATACTTAAAAATATTCCAACGCCTTCCTCGGCAAGCGTGAGGGGCGGTGGTCCTAGAGGAGGGCGCGGGGAAGCCCTCCCTCTGACCGCCCTGGCCCCGCCCGCCTGCGCAGGGGGGAGAGCTCCCAGAGAGCTCCAGGGGCCGCCGGTTCCTTTCCCGGGGCTCTTCATCCCGCGTAGCCCCTTCAGCGAGCGCTCGCTCAGCCCGTCCCGCCAGGCAGCCCCCCCCACCCCCTCGCGGATCCGTGCTGGCCTTGCCGCCTCGGCCTCACCCGCGGGCCCAGCTCCGGGCCAGCCACCTCCCCACGGGGCCAGGGGCCAGGGCCCAGACGGGCTTCGGGCAGGCGGTCACGGGCTGAGACCCGCCGCGGTCACCAGCCTTCGGGCCGCCTCCTGCTTCCTCAGCGCAGCGGAAAAAGCAGCTGCCCGGTGGCCCGGGCGCACCCCCGCCCCGCGGCGCCGCTTCCTCCTGTCAAGAGCGCGCCCTCCTCTGCGCCAGGGGGCCGATGACCCGCCGGCCCCTCTGTCCTTCCAGGCGGTCAGCCGTTCCGGCCCCCGCTCCTGCTTGTTGTCCCGCAGATGGAAAGCCCGGTCGGCCTCGACTCCAGGTCCCCCCCCTCGGGCACCCGGAACGCACCAGCTCCCCAGCCCGAGCTGACCCAGGCGAGGGGGAGCAAAGCGTCAGGCAGACACTTGTGAAAGCGCGTCAAGGCCTCACGTCCACGGGCCGCTGTGGCAGACAGACGGCCCCCGGGCCTCAGAAGCCCCAGCAGCTCCCTCGCCCCGGCAGCCGCCTCACTCCCCGCTCCCGCCTTTCCCCGAAGGAAGGGGCAGCAGGACGGCAGCAGGCACCTGTGTGGGCACCGGCGCGGGCGCTCTGCTGTGGCCACGCGAGCCAAACGGGGAAGCACTGAGCGGCCGGCGGGGCCAGATGGATGAGGGGCAGGGCGGGGGGCTCCCACACAGCGGAGTGCTGCTCGGCCCTGAGAAGGAGGCCCCGACACTGGCCACGACGTGCGGAGACCCGAAGGCCCCGCGCTACGGGAAAGGAGCCGGTGACGGAGGCGGGCGGGCACGGCGAGGCCCCAGCACAGGCAGACGCCACAGAAAGAGCAGCCCAGTTCCGGGGGCTGGGGAGCAGAGAACGGGGTGTGCACAGGGAAAGTTCTGGAGAGGATGGGGTGGCGGCTGCACAGAGTATAACGCGCTTAGCCACACAGAACCGTGCGCTTGGAAATGGCAAAAATAAGTCTGACGCAGTTTCCTACAATGAAACTTCAATGTAAAGAATACACGATCAGTCTCTACGGCGGCACGCTGACTCCGCGCCTGCGGCTTCGGAAGCGGCTCCCTGGGCACCTGCACCGCCCGGAAGCTGCTGGAAACGCAGGTCCTCAGGCCCCACCCCAGGCCTGCTGACGCCGCCGAGGGGGCACCCGCGTGTTTCCACAAGGCCCGCGGGGAGCGCCGCTCCAAAGCTGGAGACCCCTGTTGGTTCCAGCTGGTTCCCACCAGGCTCCTCCACCATCCTTAGCCCCGAGTCCTGAGAACCCCCACCAGCAGGACGCCAACGGGATGGACCGGCCACTTCTGCCCACACACGCCAAGGCCACGCTGGGGGAGAAGGGCCCTGCTGTGGTTCCCAGGGTGGCCCGTGGAGCCATCGCCTCGGGACCTCCTGGAACCTCCCCGTCAGTGCTCGCTGCCAGCCCGCGCCCACGAAGGCACCAGTGCAGGTCTAGGGCGCCCTGGCCATCCGGAAGCCCTCAGGCACGCAGTCCGCAGTGGGTGACCAATGCAACAGAAGGTTCCAGGTGTGGGTCCTGCTCGGCGCCACTGCAGCCCTGCCCCACCGCAGCTGGGGGCCGGGGCGGGAGAGCCCGCAACGGCGCAAGGCTCAGGGCTGGCTCAGCTCCCCGCAGCCCCCAGTCCCCACGCCCGGGAATGCGACATCAGGAAAATAGCGAGGCCACTATCACCTCCTCCACCTCCGGGCCCTTTCCACACCCGCGTCCTACCCCAGCCAGGTGCCCTACCCCTCCCGCCCATGCCCTGCCCTCTGCCTCACCAGGCCAAGACTTTGCTCCTCTCAAGCCTCTTCCGGTGGAGCCGCAGCTCCCCGCACCACCCGCGGCCCTCGCCCCCTGGCAGTGCTTAGGGCTCCGGCCCAGGCCTGCATCAGACCCGCCGCGGGGAAACCCAGGCTCTGCCCCGAGAAAAGCCCGCGTCTCGCATGGGGCATAAGCCAAGGCCCCGCCCCACAGGGCAGGGCACAGGCCAAGGACAGGAGGGCAGGTGGGCCACACGGCTCCCCAGCACCTCTAGGGGTCCGCTGGGGGGGGCCACACCAGCGAGAGCTGCGCCTCGGATGGAGCACGCAGGGCTCCAGGGGGCAGAACAGCTCACCAGGCTGGCCCGCTCCCCCAGGGGGGCTGGGACCACAGGGCAGCAGCCAGGGCGGTCAGCACACCCAACCTCCCCAGGCCCCTCCCCAGCTCCGTCCCCTCCAGCAACGGGCACTCCCGGCACCATGAGCTGACTCTGCAGCCTCATGAGCTCCCTCAATGATTCGTGGGCCCTGAGGGGCAGCGCTGGAGAGAGGGACCCTTCCAGCCCTGTGCCTCATCCAACACCCTAAAAACGGTTTAGGCTCCAGGCTTGTGTTTGTGTGTAGTTTCCACACCGCAGCGGGGCAGGCAGTGTAGACAGCAGCTGGGGGCCAGACGCTCAAGCCAAACCGCTCAGTTCAAAACCTGCTGTCCGGGCTGCCGGGAAGGCTCCGTGGAAACACAGAGCGAGCACAGCACCGGCGCCCGCGAGCCTCTCAGGCCACGCCGGCTACTTGCGTGGACGCGCAGAGAGAAGCGCGTGGGGAGAGGCTGGCACAGCAGCAGGAGCAGCCACAGCGGTGGCGGGAGACGACTGCACCAGGCAGAAGAAACGAGAAGTGACCAAGGGCGGCACTGCGGGCCCTGCTGCCCAATCTGAGCAGACGGAGCACGCGGGGGACGGGGGTGGATGGGCTGGAGGGCGCAGGACAAGCCCAGGGACCTGCGCGGGGCTGGAGACGGGCTGGAGAAGAGGGGCCTCGGCTGGCCGGGCCGGGGAGATCCCGGGCCAGGCAGGCTGCGGGGCTCCGGAGGGGGGGCCCTGCCCCAGCTCCGCGGCGGCCTGGGCGAGGCGGGTCATGAGAGAAGCGCCCGGGGAGCAGGTGCCCAGGAGCTGGCGCTCCGGGAGTCGCGGGCTCGGGCGCAGGGGCCACAAGCCCGCAGGGCAGCGACGACGACGACGCCGCCGCCGGCCGGGGAGCAGGCGCCGGGGCCGGGCGCTGGGGGCAGCCTGGGCGCCCCGTCGACCCACTGCAAGGGGCGCTGTCGGGGGGCCTGGGGGGTCCCGGGCCCGGTGTCCCTCCCGGCCCGGCCCTGCTGCCCGGGGGCCGGCAGCCCCGCTCCCCCGCCCGGACCCCCCCCCGGGCCCCGCTCCCCCCGGCCTCCCGCCCGGCCCCGCTCCCCCCGGCTCCCCGCTCCCCCCGGCCCCCCGCGCCCCCCGGCTCCCCGCCCGGCCCCGCCCGGGCCCGGCCGCGCCGCTCACCCAGTTCCCGAAGCCGAACTGCTCGATGGCGTCCAGCAGCAGCTGCTCCTCGCGGCTGGTCCAGCCGCCCTCGGCCTCGGGCCCCCACAGCGTGAAGCGGCCGCCGTCCACCAGCTGGTAGCCGTGGAAGCGCCGGTGGTGGCCGATCTCGGCGCCCGCCGCGAAGCAGTCGGGGCAGAGCTCGATGTCCTGGCACTCGGTGCAGCGGAAGCGCAGCGGGCTCACCTCGGCCAGGCAGTACACGCAGTACTTCTTGCCCAGCTCCGCCATCTTCCCGCGCCCGCCGCCCGCCGCGCCCGCCGCGCCCGCCGCGCCCGCGCCCGCCGCCGCGCCCGCGCCCGCCGCCGCGCCCGCGCCCGCCGCCCCCGCGCCCGCCCAGGCGCCGCCGGAGCCGGCCAGCCGGGCCGCGTCCCGCCGCAGCGCGCAGGCGCCCTCGGGCCCGGCCCGGCCGCCGCCGCCGTCGCCGCGCCGCATCGCGCAGGCGCCCGCGCGCCCGCGGGCCCGGCCGCCGCCTGCGCCTGCGCGGCCCTCGCGCCGCCGCCGCCGCCCCGCGCCGCGGGGGCCGCGCGGGAGGGAGCGCGGCGGCGCGCCCCGCCCCCGCCCAATCAGCAGCGCGCGCCGGCCGGCCGCGGCCCGCCATTGGTCGGCCGCGCCCGGGGGCGGGGCCCGGCGGCGGCTCCGCGCCGGGCCAATCGCCGGGCGCAGCGCTCGCGCCCCGGTTGCCCCGGCAACCCAACAGCCGGCGGCCGGGGGACGGCGCGGCGCGGCGCGGCGCGGCGCGGCGGGCGCGGGAGGGATGGGCGGCGGCTCCGAGCCGGGAGGCGACCCGCAGGGGCGCGGCGCGGGGGCTGCGGACGGCCCGGCCGCGCCGCCGCCCGACCTGACGGCCGGCTCCGGCCCCCGCTCCCCGGCCGAGCCCGAGCCCGAGCCCCCGGGGGCCCGGCGGACCGCGCCGGCCAGGACCCGCCCGCCGACGCCGCGGCCCGGGAGGCGCCCGGGGAGCCGGGCGAGGACGGGGGGCCGGGCGAGGACGGGGCGCAGCCCGAGCCCCTGCCCGAGTCCCCGCCCGAGCCCCCGCCGGAGCCCGCGCCCGAGCCCGGGGAGCCCGCCGCGCCGGAGGAGCCCGGGGACCCCGGGGCGGCGGCGGAGGAGCGCGGCGACGGGGACTCCTCGGCCACGGCCTCGCGCCCGCCGTCCCCGGCCAGCCCCGAGACGTCCGAGCCCGAGCCCGAGCCGCGGGGGCCGGCGGCAGAGGAGCCGGGGGCCGGGGCCGGGGCCGCGGGGCCGCCGCCCGCGAAGCCCCCGAAGGAGCTGAAATTCCTGAGCGAGGAGGCCCCGGGCGAGGACGAGGAGTGGACCGAGGAGGTGCAGCGCGAGCAGGAGCGGCAGCTGCGCGCCGAGCTCCTGGGCCAGTACCGCGCCCTGCTGGTGGAGCGCGGCCAGTACCAGCGCTACAGCCTCTACCTGCAGCACAAGGTCTCCCAGGCCCTGCGCAAGAAGAAGGGCCTGGAGGCCGGCGAGGCGCCCGAAAGGGACGCGGAGCCCGAGAACCCCGAGAAGGAGAACACGTACCTGCACTACCTGGCCATGCTGGAGGAGCTGAGGAAGCAGCGCGCCGACGACCTGGACTGGTATCACCAGGAGCTGGAGCAGCTCAAGCAGCAGTGCGTGGAGAAGCTGACCAGGGTGGACAGGGCCTGGCAGCGGTTCCAGGCCCTCAAGAAGCAGGTGATGATGCAGGTCATGGGCAGCTGCCGCCTGCGGGGCGGGCGCCAGGCTGCGCTGCGGGAGGTGGAGCAGATGCAGAAGCTGGAGGACAAGAAGGAGGAGGAGATGCGGGCCGTGCGGCTGGAGAACATGCAGCTGAAGCAGAGCCTGGCGCATTTCGAGACCAGGATGCGGGCCCAGGAGGACCTGACCGAGGGGCTGCTGCTCATCGATTTTGAGCAGCTGAAGATCGAAAACCAGACCTTCAACGAGAAGGTGGAGGAGCGCAACGAGGAGCTGCTGAAGCTGCGCAGCAAGGTCAACACCAACGTGCAGGTCGTCACCCACGTCAAGGAGAAGCTGCACCACGTGGAGCTGCAGAACTCGGGCCTGAGGGCGCAGCTCCTGGACACCGAGTCCCAGGTGGCCCTGCAGCGCGACGTCCTGACCAAGACCAAGCAGGCCCGGGACGTCCTGCGGATCGACAACGCCAAGCTGAACCGCAAGTGCGGGCTCCTGGGCAAGGAGGCGCTCCTCCAGGACCTGGAAGAGAAGGTGGACAAGAGCGACGCGCTCAGCCAGCGCCTGGACTTCCTGAAGCGCCACCACGCCGGCCTGACGCTGTCCTGCAGGGGCGTGAAGCAGAAGATCCGGGAGGCCAAAGCCTTTCTCCCCTCTTGACGGGCAGGCGGGAAGGCAGCAGGAGGCGCCCCTCCCCCGCTGGCCTGCGCGCCACCCGCGCCATCCTCGACCCCGGCACTTGGGATGGGGCTGCGCTTTGTTGCAACTTTTCAGCCTCCACAGCAGCCTGAGCACACAGTGGGTCCGCGACTGTGCTGGGAAAAGCAAAACAGGTCTCGAGACACAAAACAGGGCCGACGACACCGTCCCTGACTCCACGGAGAGCTGTCAAGGCCCTTGCATCTGGACAGCGTCCGTCGCGGTGACCTGACACCGAGGACCGCCCCTCCTCCCCCGGCATGCAGAAGGGACGAAAAGGCTATCAAGAGGGCAAGGTCCCCCCAAAACACTCCCTGCACAGGAAGCTAATTATTAAACTCCCTTTGAATCTGCTTGCCAGTGAGTCCTGAGTCACCGACTGAAGGGCGAGCTCGCCGCCCGCGCCCCCGCGCCCGGTCCCAGCTGCTGTGTGTGTTACTATGACGCGTTTGTCGTCTGTCGCCAGTAGGAACCTGACGCCCAGGGCACGGGAAGGAGGCTGTTCCGTCTTCTTCCCGGACGGGCTGGGGCTACTTAAGCCTCAGGCTGGTGTCCGGCCCCGACTCCTCATGGTGGCGTCTTCCTGCGGCTGTGCCTCGCCCGGTACCAATGATGATTTTTTTTTTTCTGTGAAGACAAAATGACGACACCGCGTGTTTCCCACGGGCAAAGCCCAGGCGTGGCGGCCGCGGCGGCCTTCTGGTTCCAGCCGGAGATGCTCCGGCGCTGGCAGCGGGAGCCGCCGCCACTGCCCCGCGCCGCAGGTCACGCCGCCGTCGGCTCGTGCTTGCGCGGAGACCCGCCCGCCAGCCCTCGCTCCTGAATCCAGCCCCGTGACCAACATTTTTGCTTTTCCTGATGCGTTGGGAGCTCGGAGCTTAGGTTTCTTTCTTAATCCCAAATTGAATCTTGAGACGTGCCGGCGTGGCGCTAAGCGGATGCCCCCGGCACTAAGCGCAGCCGCTCGCTCGTCGGGGCTGCCTGATCTGCGGGCGGTGCGAGCCGTTCCCCAAAGCCCGGTGGCAGCCCCACTGCGGGCAGCCGGCGGGGTGGCTGGGAGAACGTCGGTTGCTGTCTCGGGGCGGAAGGAATCCTGAGTCCCCTGTGAAGCCAGCGCAGGTGGAGAGACGCCCCTCCCGACGTGCGCAGCCCGAGCGCGCTTCGCAACAGCCGTGGCCGTCGGGGAAGGGAGGAGCTCAGCCCCCGGCTTCATTTCACCACCTTTCTGCCCGCCCGGCGCAAGGCCGGGGAGGTGGTGAGTTACCCAAAACACCCTGGGCCTCGAGTGGAAAGCACTGGCTTTCACGCCGATGGCGTGCTCGGCCCTGCGGCTCCCTGGCAGGCAGGTGAGCGTTGGGGCTGACCCCGACCCCATGGCCATGACCCAGGTCTAAGCAAACCTCCTCCTGCCCACCTGGCCCGGGTACCACGTGGGTCTCTGCGCACGAGGATGCCAAGGAGGCGGATGAGGTTGGCATGATGATGATTTCGGCTGCAGTTATAAATCACATTGCCGCTCGCTGGCCAGGTTAGATTAATCAGAAGACAATCTTCTGTTGATCACCGTTACCTCTTCCTGAGGCTCTCGCTAGATTCTCGGAGACTCTTGGTCATGAAATAGCAGCACATTCACAGATCGTGCCCTGGCGGGCTCTGAGGCGGCGGCCGCGGATCACAGGGCACCTTTCCCTCTTCAGGGCGCTGCCCCTGGCGCCCCGCGCCGGCCTGCTCTGTCCCCCAGAGACAAAGGCCCGGAAGGCAAGGGCCGGGTGCTGGCTTACCGTCCTCTGCAACAGCCGGCACAAGGCCCGGCACGTGAGCTCTGCTCCGACTCGTGGGATGAATAAGGCGCCGCCATTCCCATGTTCTGCACATGTGCCCTTCGTGCCCATTGTATGTCGGGCACGGCGAGTCCTGTGCCAAATTCAAACAATTACAGGCGGAAAGAGGATCTCTTAAGAAGCAGAAACTTTGGGGGAGTGACGGGGATGGGGTGCAGGGCCCTGCACATGCAGAGCTGCCAGCTGGGGCAGGGACACCCCCAGAGGGCCCCCTCCCACTAGGGGGCTTTCTCGCGAAATGCTGGAGGCTGGACCAGACACTCAAAGGCCAAACGCGGTCTTTTCGCCGCCTGAAAACACAAGCGCTGAGTGACGTTAGAGGTGGGCGATTCGAGGACGTTTTTATTGGGCTGAGCGGCGGGTGTCCCCCTCAGGCGCGGGGGTTTCTGCTTGGGGAAGCCCTGGCGGGAGCGATCCCAGCAGCGCTGCTCATGCAGAGGCGGGAATCTGGTGGGGAGCGCGCACCACAGCAGCACCGTCACCCGCCCCTCTTCACACCCCCAGTGCTCGCGTCAGAGCGGTGAGTCTTCACTTGCTCTCAACAGGAGGGGCTCGGGGGCCGCATCTGCTGCGTGGGGCGGGGGTCCGAGAGGCCAGCCCGGCCAGCACCAGCAGGGAGAGCAGCTGGGGTCCCCTGCCCCTCCCGCGGACGGCCCCTCCCCGGGGCAGCTTCCGGCTTTCCCGGCCGGTGGGCAACGGCGCGCCTGACTCACTGGCTTCCCGCCTTCGGACGGGCCGGGTCTGACCTCTCACCCGGGCGCCGGGGCGAGCACGGATGGCCCGGAGGAGGCCCAGGCGCGGGAGGGCAGCACGGCCACCGCCGTCTGGGGTGCGCCCCCCACAGGCCCCGCCGCGCAGGACGGGAACGCGTTTGTTCCGGGGGAAGGTCCGACGTGGAAACAGCCTCTCCTCTGGCTGAGGAAACCATGAGCAGTCGCTTCTTGGTGCTTTGCCGCATTTCTACATTTTATAAAGTAAAACACGTATTTCATGGGCAGGGGAATCTCGACATTTTTCATATTCCCAAACCCACCGAGGGCAAGACGCGAAGCGCACACGACCAGGACACGAGTGTGGCCGTGGCAATGCGGGTTGTCTGCGTGACGCGGCCAGGCCAGCATCTGAGGCGATTCTAACCCTCCCAGTCGGAGCCGGGTGTTGCGACCCCTGGTTACGGGGAAGCCCGAACGGGGCCGGCTCGAGAGAGCTCACTCGGGGGCCGGTCTCTAAACAGCACGTCAAACTTGGGTTGGTTTGGGGACAGCTTCCAGCAGGAGCTCGGAGCAGGGTCAAAGCAGCTGAAGGAGCCGCGTGAGGGAAGTGGTGAGGCTTGGGGGTGAGCGCGGGGCGCCGGTGCTGGGTGGGGCGGGCCCACGTCCTTCCTGCACACACACAGGGCAGCCCGCCGAGCTGGGCGTCCTGGGGGGACCGCCGTGCCCCGTGACCAAGCCCAGCCCGAGCAAACTGGGGCTGAGGTGGTCCCTGAGGGGCAAGACCCATGAGGCCGAGCGTTCGGGCCGCTCGGAAGCACCGCGGCCCTTGGGTCAGGGCCGACCGAGGTGCTGGGTGCCCGCAACGCCAGCAAATGCTTAAGAACAGCCCTGCACCATGCAGAGCCGGTCCCCCCGTTTCCCAGACCCCCACAAGTTCCCCCGGGGCTTCACGGCTTCCAGTGCTGGCTGAGCCGGTCCTCCGGTCCACAGGGCGACCGCGGGGCGCCCAGCCTCCCGGCCCCGCAGCGCCTCTCCCAGCTTGCCTTCGGAGCCCCGCACCGCAGGGCCTGGCTTTCGGACGTCTGCCCCAGTTTCTGGGGAAAACAGTGGACAATTTGCACCCCCCCGCCTGGGTTTCCGGAGGGCCCCTCCCCGGAGCCGGCCTGCGGACACGCACCCTCCTGCGGGCGCAGCCTCACCCACGAGGCGCCTGGTCGGTGAGCGCGCCGGGCCCACTCTGAGCCTGCGGAGCCCAGGTCCGAGCCCGGGGAAGGAGGCTTCCGAGGGGCCGGGGGCTGTGGGGGGAGCGGGGGCTGTGTGGGAGGGGCCGCGTGAGCCCCGACACCCCCGCCAGCCTCATGGCCTGGACAGCGGCCCAGAGGGGCAGGCAGTGCCCAGAGGGGCAGGCGGCTCCGCCAGAGAATGCGGGCGTCATCGGGAGAGCCCCCTGCTGCTCAGGTGAGGGGTGTGGGGGGGGCAAGGGCCCCTCCCTCCCGGGGCCTCGGCTTGGCGGGGGAGGGAAAGCGCCAGCGGCTGAGGCTGACCGGTCGGTCACCGTCAGGTCGGTCACCCTCACTGTCACTGAGCACCGGGCCAGCGCCGCGCGTCTGCCGGGGAGGGAGTGGCGGCCCGGCGGGCCAGGAAGAGCCCTCGGTCACCCGGCCGGGTCTGAGGAGCGCCCTGGGAAGTAGCACAGACCCCGGCGGGGGCCGGGGCCCAGGGGCGCGCGGACTGGAGTCCCGGGAGCGCATGGCCGCCGCGCGCTGGGGTGAGCTCAGCTGAGAGGGCGGCAGCCAGGCCCCCACCCTCGAGGGCAGCCTTGCCCTTAAACCAAGATACGCGAAAAGTGACAATTTTCCATGGCTTTTATTTAATAAAACCACATATTTACAATTCAAAAAAGTCCTAATTTGATACATTTACTAAATAAAATTAAGGGTGACCTGTACACGCCAGGGAAACATGATACGTCGCGGGTGCTGCGGGGTCCCCCACAGCAGACGGCTCAGCCCGCACCTGCCGCCCAAGCGCGTGGGAGCCAGCGCGAGGCCCTGCAGCGCAAAGACCCGGCGGAGCCTCCGCTGGACGCGTGGCCGTGCGGCACCAGCGGGGGCTCTGGCGGGGGCAGTTGGCCGACCTGCTTCGGGTTCTGCCCCTTGGTCCCTCAGAGAAGCTCCCGGCGGAGCCCCCAGGCCTTCCTGGCTTCGGGCACGGAAGCAGCAAGTCCTCGTGTGGGCTGGACAGCCTGGGCCCCTTCGGAACCCCAGGGCCGGCGGGCGGTCCAGCGGGCAGGGCATCTGTCTGCGAGGGCGTCAGTGCGCCCGAGGCACGCGAGGACCGTGGGGAGCCGGGAGGGTTTCTGTCACGACTGAGGACTCCTTTATGCACAGTAAGAAAATACACACGTCTCTCACGGACAGAGCCCGCGCCACGGGACAAAACCAGGTCGAGAAGGGGCCTGGTGACACCCGGGGGGGGGGGGGCGGGGAGCGGTGGGGAGGCGGCTGGGACCAGGACGCCAGGTGGTCAGCGTGAAGGCCAAGGCAGGGCGGGGGCAGGCCGGCTCCGGTGATCCGGGAGCAGCAGGTCAAGGGGAGAGGTCCCTGGAGCAGAGCCGGCGCAGGGCCTGAGGACAGCCGCTGCTGGCGACCTGCCGCCGACCTGCAGTCCACAGCGGACACGGCAGACAGGCCTAAGCAGCAGCCCTGTCGGGGTTCTCCTGCCCCACATCTCCTTGTGCACTAGCCCCAGACCCAGGGTGCTCCCAAGATCAGAAACCGGGTCCACGTGGCCCCCTGCGGGGTGCGGCTCAGAAGGCTGAGAGGCAGGGCCAGGCCTTGGACGCGCCTGGCCCCTGCGCGCTACCACGCCCTCGTGGGGACCTGGTTCCCAGAGCCGGGCCTGCCCCTCCAGACAATCCGTGCACACACTCCTCCCGTCTTCGAATCTGGATGCCAGAGCTCTCAATGCAAAGCTTTCAAATCAGTCAAGGAACTGCCAGAAGAGAGGCTGCTCACAGGGGCGGGCAGACCCCGAGGACTCGGACGGGCCCGTCCGTCTGTCCCCAAGCCGGTGCCCGAGGAAGGAACCGCTGGGCTGAGGCCCGGTCCTGCCCTTGGAGGCCAGGGCGAGGGGCACTCTGCCAGAGCTGGTCCCCGCCCCGGGAGCACGGGGCAGGTCCGCAGCCCTCACTCTGGCTTTCATCGCGGAGGCCGCCTCGGTCCATCCACTCTCAGCCCTGCTCCTGCGCCCCGGCCCCGCCGGCGGCGGCGGTGGTGGGGGGGACCATCTCTGAGAGAGCAGGGTTCCCACTGGGACCCAAGCCCCTTTTGTCAAGGCAACGTGGTAAAAGTCCACCCCAAGGTCAGGTTGCATCCCAGGGGCCCGACAGCGCCCCCCGGCGGCCGTCCTGGAACGCTAGCTTTGGTGGGTGGTCGGAGCGTGACCTCCAGCTCTGCGGTATCTCGAGGGCGTCAGGGCGCCCCGCACCCGAAACGGGCAGGCGTGGGCCGGCGACACCTGAGACCGTCCACATTTCTCGTGTACCTTGGCTACAAAGATGGTTGTGTTCCTTCTGGCAGAGGACAGAAAAGCGTTACACTTTAATGAGCTTTCGCGGGATGGGCGCTGCCACTGCCCTGCGTTTAAACCACGCAGGAGACGCAGCGGCGGCCACGGTCGACACCAGCCACGACTCCACTGAGCTTAAGGCGAAGCCTCGGTTTAATTCTTTGAAAGTCTGTGTTGGCTTCACTTTGCTTAAGGCCAACTCCAGTGTCAGGCATCAAACGTGGAAACAGCCCCAGGTCTCCGCTGCCGGCCAGCCCGCGGGGGAGCTGACCGGGCAGGCACCAGCCACGCCGACTCAGTGCCTGAGCGACGGGCTGCCTTTCTCCACATCCCGGCTGTCCTTCTGCAGCGCGGTCAGCACCTGGGGGTTACAGGGGAGACGTCTGTGGGCGGTCAACACGGATCCTGCTTGGCCCAGGATGCCTGCAACCTGCTGCCCCTGCCCGGCCTCGGCCTCCTCACCTGCAACCTCCCCTGCCTTCTCAGAGCCACTTCCTGCCCGCCCCCCCCGCCACCCGGCTTAGCGGGGTCAACATAGGCTTCCCGCTCCGGAGTTCACGAGGCCTGGCGGGCAGGCTGCACACACTTGGCCAGCTCAGGACCACGTGGACCGGGGGGCCTGGCCGACTCAACCCCAAGAACCCTCCTGTCCCTATGGGCACACCCACATCACAACACCAGGAGCCTCCAGGTACAGCCGGGCGGGGTGGGGGGGTTGTTTCCTTTGCTATGTCTCTGGCATTAAAAGGAAATGGGGGGCTGAGCTCTAACGCGTGGAGAGCACTATGACGGCAGGCTGAAGTTCCTGCCCGATGCCCCTGCAGGGCAGTGCACGGCTCACCAGCCCCTCCGCCTGATGGAGACGCAAAGCCCAAGGCCCATGTGTGGCAGAGCCAGACCTCAAGCCCAGCCCAGACCCAAGCCCAGCGGAAGCCCCCAGAGACCAGCCTGTGCCAGGGGCACGCCGGGTGGCCGAGCCACGCCTCGCCTCTGCCGGGAGACCTGCTGCTCACCTGAGCCCACTTCTTGTTTCGACTCTGCATCTGGATTGTGGCAATGGAAGCAAAAAATTCCTCTGCAGGCAGGTCCTCGGGCAGCCTGGTGAGGAACTGGGCGATGTGGATGAAGTCCATCTTGGTCAGGATGTCCTCGAAGAGCTTCAGGATGCCCAGGGCTGTGCGGAACAGGAACTCCTCCCCGTCGCGGCAGAAGACGTCCCAGACGCGGCAGGCCAGGTCCAGGGGCAGGGACTTACTATATAAGGTGAAGATCCTGCAGCAAAGTTTGGGGCTCTCAGATTTGGGGGCACAAACAAGGAGCTCTGACAGCCGAGACAAGCTGGGCCTGTACGGGGGTGCTGGGCGCGCACGCAGTCAGCATGCACCTCTCCAGCAGGGGGTGGGCGCACGCTGCCTGGCGTAAGAACCACGTCACTGTAAGTCACAACCGCCTTCGGCTGGCCCAGAGCACAGCTTTGTCCCTGCCGCCCATCCAGTGGGCGCTTGTTCACGTGAAAACCAGCCTGGGCCGCCATCTTCCTCTTTCCGGACGGCTCACCGCGGCGTCAAGCCCGTACCCCTTAAAAGCCGGTGCTTCAGTGAAAAATAGTCAGGAAACAGGCAACGCCATAGGCAGAGAAGGAGCATAACAGCAGAGAAGCCCTTCACGGGGACACTCGCTCGGGCCAGGCGCGCCCTGGAGCCTCCTGCCTCTACGCCCACTGGGTGTCCAGAGGCACCGCCAAGGGACCGGGCCCCAAACCAGATCTGCCAGCGGCCCTGCCAGGTGTGTGCGGCTGGTCTCAGGTGGTGGCACCAGCAACTCCTTGGCTCCCACCCAACGCCCAAGGGCAGACCAGGCGCTGCAGCCCCCTCGCTGCCCCACAGCAGTCTCTGGGGCCATAGCCGCCCTCTCCACCCACTTCCACAGCCTCAGCCCAAGCCCCACTCTTTGTCTCAGCCCTGCCTCCCAGAGACCAAAAGCACTTTCAGATACAACCCACCTCCACCCTCACCCTCAGAAAGAGCCTCACCCACCCCGCTGGTCCTGGTAACCCAGCCAGGCTGCTCAGCTTGGCACCCAGCCCCCCGCCTCCCACCCTCTCTGCCTGAGCAGGCAGGACCTGGGCCACAGAGGGCGTCCTGGTAGGCAGCTGGGGGAGAGTGAACAGGAAGGACACGGGGTCCGGCTGAGCCCTGAAAGCAGCTGGCAGTGAGGACAGTGGAAGCCGGGGAGGGAGGGGTCACAGAAAAGGCAGTCTTACCAGTCGATCAGGTAGATGTCTGGAGTTAAGTTGTTTTTCTTGAAATGAGCAAATAATTTCGGCAGATTTTCTTCAAAGAATACCTCAAATGCAGCAAAATAAGTCAACATCTAGGGAGGTAAGGTAAAACACCAACAAACGGTTTATCAGCTCGAGTTTCCAATGTATAAAATAAGTCAATATGCCTCTAGGCCTTTAAACACAGTCTCCCTGGCTGGGCCCGGCTGCCAGGCCCCATGCGGCTGGTTCCTGCATAAGTAGCACCTCTGTGACCGTGACACTGCCAGCGGCATCTGATTCTTCCTTCAACTTCCAGACCTGAGAACTGAACCAGGCATGCAACCTGCCGGCTGAGGCCACACCCGCTGTGCGGACCAGGCCAGGCCCGCATGGTCCCTGGCCCTCCAGGTGATGCTACAGCCTTCTTCCCTCCAAGAACCCAGCGTGAACTCACCAAGATGAGCTGGGGAAGCTGGCAGGCCCCACTCCCAACCCCTCGCACTCCCAGAGGGCACCCATGCTGAGACCTGCAGCTGGGCATCCCTGCGGGGGGCCGGAGCCGGGGTGGGGGTACGGGCAGCACTCAGGGCCTGATCCCTGCACCTGCCTCCTTCAGTGGAAACTGGGAATCCAGCACACTCAGCACAGGAGCGGGGCCGAGACACCAGAACACCCGGGCCCTGGGCCAGCCTCAGAGGGTGCGCTGAACCTGGGGGGCCTGTCATGGGGGGCTGGCCCCCCGGAACGCCTGCCCCATCTGCATATAGCAGTGACAGTCCCAAGTGGGGTGAAGTGCTCCTGGCACCTGGGGGTGGAGGCCTCCCATGCTCAGGGCACCCCAAGCCCAGCCCAGAAGCCGCAGTGGAGAACCCTGGCTCTGCGGGAAACTCACTCCACATGGTAAGTCTGTGATTTTTCTCCTTACTGAAATTCCTAAGTACAGCTTTTGTCTGTTTCAAGAAGAAGCCGGAATCTTTATATTCATAAGATGTTTACCAGTAAATCACTTCATTAGCTATAAAGTGTCTCTTCCTAGGAAGGCGACGTGCTAAGTGCTCACGGCAGAAAGCGCGAGAAGCCCTGAGGAGAGGGCCAGTCACCCCGCTACCGACAATGTGGGGTGTTTCCTGTCCTCACGGAGCGCGGTGGCCACCAAGGCACACGGGAACACACTCTAGTTCAGATGCTTCGGAAGACGTCAGTGTGTTACCCGGAACACCCCCCAGAGCGTGTGGCCGTGCACATCAGTACCCCGCGGGACACACCACCTCCAGGAGCCGCCCGCCGCCCGAGCCCGCTTCACATGTCCCGGTTCCACAGCTACGGACACGAGGGCAGCGCCTCTCCACGTGGACACTTGCCTTGCCCCTCCGCCGCTGCTCAGGCCCAGGCAGTCACCAAAGGGCCCGGCCAGCTGCCGTCCGCAGCCCCCGCGTCGCACTTTGTAAAAGTCTATACTTCCAAGGAGAGGGCCGTGTCTTCAGGAAGAGCACTCCGTGGCTGCGCCGTGCCTGACGTGCAAGCACCGGCGAGACCGGGCTCAAGGCAAGCGGCCAGGCCATCAGGCCCCTCCTGGACACGAAGCGCGGCCCCAGTTCCCATCACCAGCGGTGCGGATGGAGGCGCCTGCACCCCGAGCCTCGAGACCCGGGTGCCACGCACAGGAGGCCCATGAGCAAGCGCTGCCTCTCCTCCACACAGACACCCTGGAGTCCCCACAGGCCTCCTCTCCTGCCACCCGCTTCATGCCGATGTGAGGGGACCCCACGCAGCAGCAGCAGCTGCGAGAAGCGACAGTTCAGGCCACTGCCCTGCTGCGGGGGATGCCGTCGGCGAGAGCAGCGGAGACCCTTCCAGGACACCCTCCCAGAGAGGGTCTGGGAAACGCGCACACGGCGCTCACGTGTCTCAGGCTTCGAGGCCAACATAAGGCGCCCGCCCAGCACTGGTTGCCCCAGCGCCTCCCACGGCGGTGGGAACGTGGGCTCCTCCCCCACTGCAGGCCGTGGTCGGGGCGCGGGGGGTGAGGCACACATAGGGGATACTCACAAGGCCATGGTCCACTCGGAAAAACGCCATTTGACAGGGTTTATTCAGAAGATTAGAGAAAGCGATGAAGGCATCTGCAGCGTCCAGGTTCAAGGTCAACACAGCTGCTACGAAGGACATGCCCTGGACCTGAGGGGAGGGGACAGAGGGCATTAAGTGGACGCCGCCAGGCTCAGGACGCGCGTGCTCCATGCGGCAGGACCTGCTGCCTCCCTTCCCAATGGGGATGCACCTGCCACCCTGGCCGTCTGCCTGTGCTCCCAGCCCGCCCCCACCCTGCATGGGGCCCGGGGTTGGGGGGCGCACCTCCCGTGTGGGCAGGAGCAAGCCAGGCAATGCATTGACCCTGCCGAGGCGCACGGACAGCAGCAATCGCTGCGAAGTGGCCACTGCAAAAGCTTGCTTAAGGCTGAAAAAATTCACGTGCAAAAAAACGAAAAGCAAATCCACCTAAAATGTGCTGAGCGCCACAGAGCGGCCGCTGTCAGCTCAATTCTTCGCCAAGGCCCAGGCTGCTCGCGTAACAAAACCACCAGGGCATCTAGGTGGTCCCGCAGCGGCCTGGCTGTCTCTGGGCGATGACATTACCAAACACCAAGGCGTCCACTTACGTAACCCACATCCGGCCGGTAGCACGTGTAAGCGCCCAGGATGCTGTGCAGCATGTCGTGATAGGGGCCGCCCTGGAAGAACCAGCACACAGGCGGCCCCACGTCAGTCCCGCACTGCAGAGCCGCCGCCACCAGGCCCCTGGTCCCGGGAGGACAGTGCAGAGCCTGCCCAGCGGCGCTCACGCTCGCAGCAGGACGCACACCGTGCTGGCCACAGCCCTGCCCCAGCTCCCACCCGACAGCCAAGCGCCTCTCAGAGTCCAGCCGGGCCCGGGCACTGAGAGCTCTGCACATAGCGGGGAGTCCTGGTGCCCTGCCCACCCCTACCCCCCCCCCCCCCGCCTCCCAGAGGCCCCCTGCTGCTCCTCCCCGCCTGCCACTGTCTTATTCGTTTTGCAGGTTTAAGAAAAACTCTCTAAGTCTTAAATCCTAGTAACGATCACTTTATTCTAAACGTGCTGCTGGCTCTCCACCCCGGCAAGAGCCCCGTTTGTTCCTGGCAGCGCCTCCTGAAGCCGTGGCTGTCGTGGTCGGGGAAACCCACGTGCCTCGCGCTGCAGCGGCTGAAGGCTGCCTCGGCGCGAAGCACATGCTGGCGTGCACAGCGGCCTCGGCTGCGGTCAGCACAAGTTGTGAAAGCGTGCAGCGTGGCCAGGACCCTCTCCACAGGGCACAGATGTGGCTTGCCGAAGGTGGCCACGGCCCAAACCATCACCACCCGACATGAAAGAACTTCCCATCAGAGGACAGCAGAGCAGAGGCCAGACGGGGATAGCAGGGACCAAACTCGGGGCTGAGGGTCCCCGAGGCAGAGCTGGTCCAAGGAGAGGGAAGAGAGACCAAGAGGACATCCCAAGTCTTCTAAAGCTACGGGTCTCTGTCCCCTCACTCTGGCGCTGCGGACCCACAGGGAAGCGGGGGCAGCAGTGCAGGCCGCGCTGTGAATTCCCCGGCCTCACGGGACGCCCCCCCTCGCCCCGCCCTCGCCCCCACACTGCCCTTTATGGTTTCACGAGGGAAACCAGAACGCTGGCGTTGAGGCACAGCCAGAGGACGCCTCAGGAAAGGGAAGGCTGCTCTCTGCCGCGGGGCCCCAGCAGCAGCCCCTGCACGCCCCCCTCCCCTTCTGCACCAAGCTAACTGCCAGGGACTGTCGGGGCCAAGAGGCCGCTCAGAAAGCACACAGGGAGGGGAGGCTGCTGGCAGCTCGGGCGGGGCGTGTGCCCCAGTCGCTGTTGTGGCCTGGCAGCTGCAAGCGTGTCTCCGAGCTCTGCCCGCAGACCCGCTTTCCTCGAGAGCAGGGCCTGCCTGGGGCCGTCCCCGCTCTACCGGGGCAGCCAGCAGTGGGTGAGGAGGTCTGCAGAATCCAGCTGGATCCCTCTGCTCGTTCTGTGAGCAGGTTCTCTTCGGAAAGGAAGCCGGGATGCCCTGGCACAGGTGACGCTGTGCGACACCTCCATCCCGGCCCCTCCTTCCCTTTCCCTGTCCCACTGTCACCCGAACCCGGCTGAAGCAAGCGCAGCTGTGAGAGCATCTCGGCGCCCCTCCCTGCTGCAGAAGCCCATGGGCCCTCTGCGCCGGCCCAGCCGCAGCTCGCCAAGCCTGTGGGCCTAACTGCGCCTCCACCCGCCCTGCTGGGGGACCTGACTGACTCCTCCGCACTCACCCCGCCTCCCTGTACTGTTTACCTAGCCGGGTGCAGGTGTGGTGCCGCATGCGTGGGCGTAACAGACAGGACTGGAGAGTCCAAGTTAAATGGGGGCACTGAGGTGACCAGACAGGGCGAGGTGGCTCTCTGCCGCCTCCCCCCGCTGCCTCCAAGCCAAGCGGTTCTCAAAACTGATAACCAACACATGCAGCTTAGCTTCTACTAGCATCAAATAAAACAGACTCGAAAGCAAGAAATCACCACCACCTACTTGCTGGAAAATGCAGAGGTTAGGAAACGTTCTAGAAATGTCCAGTTTAATAAGCTCCAGGCTGGCTTCTCTGTCCGCTGCTGGGAAGCCGGCATCTGTTCAGAGAGCAGAGGCAAGCACGCAGCGGTCACCGGGCTTTGAAGTTTTGTAAAAGGAGCGGGACCAAGAAGCCCTGCCGAAGGCCGGGAGCCTACTGGTTAGGGCGCGAGCCAGCAGGGCCCCTGGCGTGCACAGGACCTGCGGAGGGCTCGTCCCAGGGAGCACGGCCGAGGAGCCAGACCGGCGCCAGGAGTTCCCTGGAGGCTGAAGTAAGCGCCCGAGCTGGCCATGCCCCCGTGGCAGCTGGCGGCAGAGCCCCGAGGACGAGCTCCTGGCAGACACTGTGAGGCCCAGGCACAGACAAGGAGCGACGGTCGGATGTAAAACACCCCTGGCGCGAACTCACAGGCGGCGGGAGGGACCGCTGGGTAACACGTGTGTGTTATTTCTGACAAACATTTATATAACTTGGTCTGCATTTTTCTGGCTTCCAAAACCACACAGTCAGCATTTCCCAATACCAGTGTTAAGGGTGGGGCAGTGCTCACACCTGCCACAGGGAACCCTGACGGAGGCCCTGCAGGTGCGTGTCCCAGGAGGCGGAGCCGGTGCCCCACGCCCCGGCCGAGCCAGGCCCGGCAGGGGCCCATGATGATTCCCAGGAAAACTATTCCCTTTGTTTGTTCTCGAAGCGCCTCTTTCCCACACCGGCCACTACTGGGGCAAGTGGCGCCCAAAAGCTCCCGCCTCACGGTACCTTCGCCCTCTGCCTCCGGGCCTCCGGTGCTCAGGGACCGCCACCGCTCCTTGGCTCGGGCGAGACAGATGTCGAAGAGCTCTGCGAGGAAAGCGGCTGCGTGAGTGCCCGTGCACGTGGGGGCAGAACCCGGGGCCCACCGTGGCTGTCCAGCAGCCACAGACTGCAGGCCTGTTAGGGCCACCCAGCCCACCCGCCTGAGGACATCCCATGGAGAACCACTCTGCCTGGAGCTGACTGCGGCCACACAGGCTGCCCGTGAAGCACTGCTGCCCCGAGGCGCCGGACACTCGCCTCTCCCAGAGCCCGGCTCCAGGGAGCGGCCACAGGGCTCGCAGCCACCTGCAACCAGAGCAACGGCCCTGCGCGGCCAGGCCGCGGCCACCGCTGATGGCTAGGCCCGCCAGTGGTGAGGGGCCACCCCCCATGGCACTGCACGGCACCGCCTCCCCGCCGTGGGCCGGAAGTGGGGGCTGAGCCGAACAGGCAGCAGTCTCAGGAGCCCTGGATCCGGCGGGCAGAGCAGAGCGGCACCAAGACAATGCCCCGGGACAGCCTCCACGTCACTCCCCCTTCAGAAGGAAGCTTTCGGGAATTCCTCTCCTTGAGTACTAGACAGCGACACAGCTCACAGGGCACGGTGACCGGGCTACCCAGGCCTCCTGGGAGGTCCGTGCCCTGCTCCTCAGCAGCGGCTGAGAGGACCCACTGAGCCGCAGCAGCTGGCGCAGGGCAAGCCAGGCGACCCGAGCTTGGCGAGTTCTTTGGGGAGGGCAGCGGCCCTCAGGCAGCCAATCACGCATGACAGACACACCTTATATAAAATGAGCTGATACCAGGAATCAGACAAACTTTCAAGACGTGTCATCAATTAGTTGTTTAGCCCCATGTATAGGACGTGGTTCAGGAGACCGAGCACCCTGACGTGCAGACGCGGCTGCGTGCCGGGCAGACAGCGAAGGGAAGCAGGTGTGAGCAGCACGGCCACACGCACACGCCGCTCGTGGCAACGGCCGCCTCTCTCCCGGACGGGCAAGTGGCGAGGGAAGCCTCGGGACCGGTGGCCGCTTGCAGCCAGGCCCGTGCAGCCACTCACCGTGGGTGATGTTCAGCTCGTTGCCGATGGCTAAGCTCCAGACTTTGCCTCTCACGCTTGGAGGGATTCCCTGCCACCACAAATCTCGAACTTTTCTAGAGCACCACCTGGACAAAGCATGCGCCCGAGTTAGCATGGGTGAACAGACACCTGCCTGCCTGAGCGCCGAGCCCCACGACGGGTGTGAGGGGGGCACAGTGAGTCTAGCCCCGCCTCAGGGAGTGGACATTGCCAGCCCCCAGGTGACCGTCCACTGGGCCAGTGATGAGACAAGAGCGCAGAGGGCACTGCCTAAGCAGGGAGAGCCATGGCGCGGCTCTGGAGACCGGTTCTGGTGGGCGGAAGGCGCCGCTGCACGGCTGCAGCCACGGAGGGCTATGTCAGCGAACACTCACTGTCGTGGGGGTGCAAGGGGAGGCTCCAGCACCTCTGGGGGCCGCTCTGGGCAGCACAGCAGGGAGAGCGCAGGCTGAGCCGCAGACCTATGGGCAGGCCGACCCACTGGGCTGTGGAACCTGAGCACATCCCCCTTCCTGCCCAGTGGCGGCCTCACCACACCCAGAAGAATCCTGCCCCAGGGCGGGTGTGAGGATGGGGTGGGATGGGGCTCAAGGGCGGGGAGCTGGCCACAGCCAACCGCAGCCCACAGCCTCGCAGCTGGATGCGCCAAGTGCCATCAGTGCGGTGGGGCGGGCGCAGGGTCTGCAGCCAGGACGGCAGCCGGGGCTCTGAGGGCCTCACTCCTGCCGCAGGGTCCTGCTGGACGGGGGGTGTCTGCGGACGTGCTGCCTACTGCCGCACCACTTTTGGCCCACCACCAAAGGTGGGCCTGGGAACAGCTGCTATGCTCACGGCGCCTCAGTCGGGACACCTGCCCGCCACAGTGACAGCGAGTGACCCCAGGTGAGTGTGTGAAGCGAGCCCCAATACCCTAACACATGGTTCAGGCTGGAAGAGAAGAAAAGTAGAGGGGCCTGACTTCTGAGCTCCCTGCAGCCTTTTCTGGAAAGGAGCTGCCGGCCTCAGTCCACGGCCCCGACGGCTCCCCATATCCTGGCCCTGCTCATCCTCAACAGGCAAGAAAAACAAGAGCCACCTGTGCCTCGGATGTCAGCAGCTGCCAGGTCCTCTTTCTGGGTACGGCCACTGAAGGCAGCCCTCAAAGACTCCCGTTCTCCACAGCGGAGTCTCCACAGACCCCCAGAGCTGGGGGTGGGGGCGACCAGGAAGACTGGGCTTCAAAGGACAGGAGCTGGCAGGCTTGGGGGTTACAGGGGAAAGCGCACTGGGCAGAGAGCAAGGCGCAGGCAAAGCCCCAAGGAGCCGAGGAGCGACTCGCTGAGGGACTCCCCACAAGCTGAGGGCTCGCCACCCGCGGGCCGCAGAGGGGCTGCCGCATCACCACTTACATTGTCTCCCAGTTGGGCAGGACCTCGTTGCTCCAGGTGAGGGCGGCGTTGCCGATGCTCTCCTCTAGCCTGCATCTTTCCTCCAGCTGCTTCCTCCTCCGCTGCGCTTCCCTCAGCTCTGCAAGCACAGCGCCGTGTGAGCGCACCCGGCCCGGGCCGCCAAGCCGTCTCTCCCCAAGGGGCAGCAGATCGGCACCCCGCGCGAGCTGTCAGGGACGCACAGCTGGCAGAAACTTCCATGGGTGGAAATCACACGAATTTCAGATTATTAAAGGACCCCCAAAGTTCAGTTTCGCAGAGAAACTGGCCAGAAGGACAGGAAGGGAGCTACCTCGCTTCTTGGCCTGGACCACCATCTCCTCATACTGCTGCCGGTGCTTCTGCGCTTCCTCCGCGGGCTTCGCCGGGAGGTTCCTTTGCGGAAGAGAAACGCCTTCTCACAATTACAAATATCAAGTAAAAGTCTCCGAGAACTGGAACCCAGGGCGTGGCTTACAAAGGCGTGGTGAAAGCTGGAAGGCCACGAGCTGCCTGGCTAAGGGACAGCGGCTCAGCTCTCTGAACTGAAAACACTTCTCGTGAAGAGAAGCTGGTGGCAAGAAACGTGGCCCGCAGAGGCCGCCTGCGAGCCCCGCAGACAAGCTCGCCCTCTGGGGTCGCTTCATCGTGATCTGACCGCAGCCCACAGGACAGGACCTGCACGCGGCCGCGGGCACTGCTGGTCAGCCTCACTGCAGGACAGGCTCCCCGGGAGCAGGACCTAGGGCGGGCGGGGCGAGGGCACCCTTCACGGGAGCTGCGCCCACCTGGCGGTTCACGCGCAGACAGCTGCAGGGCTAGGTACCCGAAACACGGTACGCCCTTCAAATCCTGAGCACAACAGAGGCCGGGCTCTCCTCCCCAAACTGTGGGGTGGCGGTGCTGGCACCAGAAAACCGGGAGGGCTGTGACTGGTTGCCCCACTCCTAGCACGCAGCCATTGCTGCAGAGCCGCAGCCCCACAGCGCACAGCTCGGAGCACGGCAAGGACTGGCCCTCACATGGGGGGGCCTCACCCCATTTCTAACGGCCCTTTTCATCCTGCCTTTCAGGGCTGCTCTCCCCATCCACCCCACACCCGCGATGTCCAAGGAACAGGATGAATGTAGAAGACACATCTCCAGACGCTACCAACTTTACATGTCAGTGCTGCTGAGGACCCCCCTCTTTATGGCAATGGGGACTTTCTAGTCCATGGAAACATGTTGCTACCTTTAGGAGCCCAGCGCGGCCTGACCACGGCGCAGTCCCCTTATACTACCAGCGTCCCCACTCAACCTGCCGCCACAGAGATGGAGACCAGGGCTGAGGGAGGCCGGACACCAGGGAGGCCTCCTGCTAAAGGCCGCTCAGCCCCGGAACTGCAATGCCAGATTCCCCGGAACCGCTAGGGGATACTCCTGGTGCGCCTGCGGTTACCAGCCCGTCTACAACTCACATCAGCTGTTTAAACACGTTCTCACGCTAAATTAAAAAGAAAAAAAATCACCTAAGTGGAAAACCCGGGTGAAACACCTGTGTCAAAGGGCACGTTTCCCAACCCGTCAGGGACTATCTCACACGGCACGTGTCACTGAAGGGAGCAGAGGACGCAGCCACGCGGGGCACGCGGCACCCCTCCCGGTGCACCCCCGGCGGCGCTGGACTCACGCTGGTCTGTCCTCCAGGATGAGCGCGGTGGTGGAGAGGGGCTCAAAGTCGAGGCTCTTCCTCACATTCTGCTTGCTGGCTCGTCCAGCCTTGTCTTCATATTCCTAGGACAGAGAGACGGGGCTGAGTCCGGGCCTACCCAGCCCAGGTGACAACGCCCTTCCGAAGGCAGGAGAGCTGCTCACAGACGCCCGTCCTCGGGGAGGCTCGGGGGAGATTCGTGAAAACACTTCCTGCTGGTCAGAGGAAAGCCCAGCCAGGAGGGCCAGCCCCTCAGCCCAGCCAGCACGCCAAGCTCCCGTGACAGGGGCTCCCCACACAGACACCAGGGGCGTCATCACCCCAGACCCCCTTCGTAAAGGCCCCAGACACGGTCTCAAGGCTCGCACGCTTCCTGGATGAAACCACATTTGAATGGTCACTGCCTGGGCTTCACCGCGCGCCCCCACAGCCTCTTCTCCCAGGCACTGTGTACGTCTGGCACTGGGAAGGGGTTCTGAAATGAGGAGCTTAAAATTCTTTTAACAGGAAGATGATCAACATTACTTCATTTTCTAAGGCAGAAGCATCGAAAACAGAGATTCTTCAACATCAGAAACCCCACCTCGCACAGCAGCAAAATGCCGAGCCACCAAACCACGCGTGGATACGACCACAAACACCGCCACGCCGGTGACCCACGACGCAGACCCGGGCCGGAGGGCTCGGGTGTCCGTGCGGGCGTGGGCGCGCATGCTCGGTCCTCGGCAAAATCAACAACCGACACTATTTCCTGTTGCCTGTCCCGGACGAGGCCCTCCCTCGCGGGAGACGGTCTCACTGGGCGGCTGGGACCCGCGGAGGACCGGCCTGGGGTGCGGGCAGCCACCTGAGCAGCGCCGGAGCAGAGCGCCACCCCCGCTCCACGGCGCTCCCGACACCAGCCGCCAGGACGGGGGATCCCGGTGGGGCGCCGCGGCTGACGAGTCCCCTCGGTCAGAAAGGCCAGCGGGGTCTGAGAGTGGAGGAGAAAGGGGAATTCCTGAAAACACGCGGAGGCCAGGCCGGGGGGGTGGGGGGGGCGCCGCGGGGCAGGTTCTGCACAGGTGCAGCTGAGCGCCCTAACTTTCCAGGGCCCCAAACACTACCACAGCCTCCCGCCCACAAGCTGAGGGGACAGACTCACTTCCCCCATTCCAACCTCCAAGCGCGTGATGCGCCCCGCATGCCGCGTGACTGGACCAGCCCCCGGGGCCCCGTCCCCGGCCTGGACGTCAGCCTTACAGGCGTCGCCGCGAGCGGAGAGCACCCGGGCGGCGCGTCAACAAGCACAGAGACGGATGCTCCCTGCCCGCCCCCCGTCTCCGGAGCCACAGGCCATGCCCAGGAGGGCGGCCCGTCCATGGTGCCCGGCGCAGAAGCAGCGCGCTCTGGCCTCCGCGGCCGCCCCACCTTACAGACAGGGCGACCGAGGGCAAAGCGAGTGACCCGCCCCGAGACACAGCCAGCAAGGCGCTCCCCTCCGCCTCGGAGCGCCGGCCTCTCGCGGGGACACGCACAAGGGTGTGTGCGGCTTCACCGGGGAAAAGGCCAAGCCCCACACGGTAAGTGGGGCCGCAGGAGTCGGGCCGGTCTGGGGGCAAGTTCAGTGCCAACAGCAGCCGGGCCCGAGTAAACCCCGCCCCCGCCCCCCAGTGCCCAAGCCTTGGGCCACCTCGGCAGCTGGGCCTGGAGCAGGGGCAGGGCCCAGAGGCCCAGAGGCGGCACGGGGGCACCGGTCACCTTCTCTTTCTCAGACTGACGACAGCGCGAGGCAGGGCCAGACAGTCTGGAGAAGCCCTGCACAGCCTGCAGACGGCACGGCGTGAGGGGGCACACCACGGATCAGACGTCTTGATTCAAGGCCAAAAAGTCCACTCTCTCCCACGCGGGCCCCGAAGTCTTCCCGTGACGCCAGCAGCGGGGCTGGGTCCCCGAGCCGCCCTTCCCGAGGGCACCCTGAGCTGCCTCGATGGTGTTCACGCCATGCTCCAGGGGGCACTGCGCCCGGCAGGGCTCACACGGGCAGGCGCAGGGATCGGAAGCCACATTTGTCACTGCAGACGCGACGCAGGGTCATGTCACCTCTCCGTCGGCGTAAACAAAGCTGCCACTCGCGCCGGGCCCGTGATGACGCAGGCGTGATCACGAGCGCGGGGCTGCCCGCCCATACCCAGAATCCCAGGGAAACCTTTCCAAGTCCCGAGCAAGGATGGGGGCGGGGGGGGGGGGCAGCAGATAAAAAGCCCCTGGGAACAACGCCCTGCTGTGAAGGATCATCACTGGGGTCAGAAGTGCTGTGGTGAGAGCGAGGGCCCTGGGGGCACAAAGCCCCAGTTCTAGGCCTGGCTCTGCCTGGGACCCAGTGCGGCATCTTGGCCTCAGCACGTTGTCTGTAAAGCAGCCGCAGCCGAGGAGCTACGTGGGTGAGGCCTGAGCATGTCCCGGCGCCAGGCAGGTCCCAGGACGGTGTCGGCCCAGCTCTTCACTCCAAAGCCCCACTGTCTGGGGCTCCCCGCGGAGCAAATCTGAGGTCTCCTGCGGTAAGTCAAGTAACAAAGCCGTTCACGGCTGTGCCCACCAGAGCCCCGCAGGCCCATCAGCATACACCTACCACCGCGGTGCCACCTGCCGAGTCCTACGCCCTACGCCCCCAGCGGGGACTCACAGCGGGCTCTTTGGGGTTCCAGCTGGAAATCAGTTTAGATGATCAGGCAGGGCAGCATTCTTTGTAAGATCAAGCGATAAAGACAGCAGGTTCACAGGGGAGGCCACCTTGTCTGTGTCCTACACCTGGGTGCAGCCGTACGCCCAGCTGAAGCGGGGGGAGGGCGTATTCATGCCAAAAGAGTTTCCAAGTCACTAAGTTAGAAGCAGAGCAGGTCAAGGTCCTGCTCAGGGTGATTTATCACGAGGCCTGCTGGGAAGACAAAACCAACAGCACCGAGACGGCAGCGGACAACAGGCCGCCCCCGACCAGGGCACAGCGCGAGGTGGGTAGATGGCTGGCCGGGCCGGGAACAGCAGCCTCGTGCGGGCAGCATAAGCCCGGCTTGACGCGGCAGCCAGGAGCCAGCCAGACGGAGCAGGAGGAGCAGGGAAAGGACCCCCTAGAGAGGCAAGGGGCCTCTCCAAGACCCTTCGGGAGGCCCTCAGACCCAGCAAGGCGCAAGCAGAGGCCAGGAAACCAGGGCGGGTCAGGAAAGGCCGGGAACAGGCCAGCAACATACATGGGGGCCGAGGATAGACGAGCGTGTCCCAGGGGGCCACCTGTGGGGACCAGGGACAGGAGGTCTGGGCCGGAAGCCACCGCAGGCGACCCCATGCAGGTTTGCTGGGGCCTGCCGAGGGCAACCACACGCAGGCAGGGCTGCTCGTGCTGGACTTTTCAGTCTAGACAACACCTGGAGCTAGCGGGACCAGCCCGAGAGGGGATGAGCAGACAGGGCCTGGACACTGAGCAGCAGCAGGGAGCCAAGAGCCTGGCAGGGCTGCGCCCTGGTGCCACCAGAACAGCGCTCAGACTCCTCTTTGACAGCGTCTAAGAGAAGATGAAGATTCTGAGATGACGAACAGAACACACTCCCGGCGGGATGACCAGAGTGTGGTCGGCCACCAGGGTGGGAGCCGAGCCCCGGAGGCTGGCTGAGTGGGGAGCAGGTGGCGTCACCTGTCAAAACTGCGCTGAAGTCTGTGACACAAGGCCCCAGCGTCAAGACCCGCCTGGTCGAATGATCACTGGGGCCTGGGGCCCATCTGTCACCCCCGGGTGGGTCTACTACAGCACTGACGTGAAACCAGGCCAGTGACAGCACAGCGTCCAGAGGCGCAAGCTGAGGACTGGGCAGCCCTGGGGGAGGAGGCAGGCCTGGGTCTGAACCATCACCTCCCACCCACAGGCGCCACCAGCAGGCAGCGGGTGACCTTGAGCACGTTCTCCACCCGCACACCCCAGCCTGCACCCTTATCACGTCAGCAAGAGCGAATTAACCAAGCCATGGCAGGTACCCCAAAAGTGACAGGCCTGTTGCTGTATTACTACAAATGACCTTTGGGGCACCTCCCATTAAGAGGGCGGCCAGCACGGAGGTGGGGGAGGCTGGAGGAGAGAGGGGAGCCCTGGAAGCCTCACTGGTTCCACGCTCTGTCACTCCAGGGAGGGGGCGTTGTTTCCGGCTCAGAGACAGCTTGTCTTGCTCTGCCGCTCGTGGGCAGGGAGCAAATGCCCAACCTCTGAAAGCGGGTCCTGTGCCCCACTGAGGTTCGCCCTCAGCCCGCTCCCCAGGATCTACCTGCTCAGTTTTCCCCGGGAACCCCACATGCTGGTGATCAGGCAGCTCCCCGCCCACCCGACCTGCTGCTGCCAGGCTCCTGACCCCACGTGGCATGCAGCCTCAACAGGCTGGGAGGCAGAAGATAGGAGGAGGGAGGAGGCAGGAGGCAGGTGGAAGCAGGAGGAGGCAGGAGAAGGCAGGTGGAGGCAGGTGGAGGCAGGAGGAGGCAGGTGGAGGCAGGAGGAGGCAGGAGGAGGCAGGAGGAGGCAGGAGGAGGCAGGTGGAGGCAGGAGGAGGCAGGAGGAGGCAGGAGGAGGCAAATGGAGGCAGGAGGAGGCAGGAGGAGGCAGGTGGAGGCAGGAGGAGGCAGGACGAGGCAGGAGGAGGCAGGAGAAGGCAGGTGGAGGCAGGAGGAGGCAGGTGGAGGCAGGAGGAGGCAGGTGGAGGCAGGAGGAGGCAGGTGGAGGCAGGAGGAGGCAGGTAGAGGCAGGAGGAGGCAGGTGGAGGCAGGAGGAGGCAGGAGGAGGCAGGTGGAGGCAGGTGGAGGCAGGAGGAGGCAGGTGGAGGCAGGAGGAGGCAGGACGAGGCAGGACGAGGCAGGAGGAGGCAGGAGGAGGCAGGTGGAGTCAGGAGGAGGCAGGTGGAGGCAGGTGGAGGCAGGAGGAGGCAGGAGGAGGCAGGTGGAGGCAGGTGGAGGCAGGTGGAGGCAGGACGAGGCAGGAGGAGGCAGGAGGAGGCAGGTGGAGGCAGGAGGAGGCAGGAGGAGGCAGGTGGAGGCAGGAGGAGGCAGGAGGAGGCAGGTGGAGGCAGGA